AGTCACGTGACTTCTCAGTTAAATTTTGGGTTTTTTACTTGCTTTAAAAATTGCAGGGTGTTAACCCAAGGATAAATATTTGAAGGTATTGACCACAGAAATAAATAATACAATGGGTGCAAGTAAAGGATTTAGCCAAAAGTTTTTGAGATCTTAGAGGTTCATTAATGTGTATATACTATATAACGAGTAATATATATGTATTACACTTACATGTAGGGTACTCTATTTATTAACTAAAGGAGGAACAAGTTGTTTTTATTGACAATCTCTCGTCAAAACAAGGTAGCCATTTGATTCTCAAAATTATACATCAAGGATTTCGTTTGAGGACGAATCATGATATTTGGCCGGATGACTTGAAAGTTTTGGTAGAGATTCTATTTCATTTTCCATCTTCAATTCACTATTCACAAGTTCCAATAGAGAAATAGATGGAAAAGGCTTCTCGAGTGGTGTTTGGCAAGCAACAAACTGTTGAGACACAAATTTCATTGTTGGCCTAGACTTGGGTTTCCCGCGCAAGCAAGCCAATGCAAGTGTAGTAGCAACCAAAATATTCTTCATAAGATTTCTGCTTCTTGGAGGTGATAGACGTGTATCTAATATGTCACTTAGCATCACATTTTGCAAAGAAGATGGTGATGATGACAATGATGTTAATAGTTCCCCAGGATGTCTTCCCATCAATACTTCTAATGCCACAACTCCAAAGCTATAAACATCACACTTCTCCGTCACAACAATTGTATAGGCAAGCTCTAAAAAGGGAAAAAAAAATACAATGTTTAACATGTCAATTCAACAGTAAAGAACGAAATAAGATAATAGAAGAAGAATGGTGATGCAGAAAACCTGGGGCAATATAACCATAGGTGCCAGCAAGTACAGTGTAATTGGATGAATCAAGATCCAAAAATCTAGAATTTCCAAAATCAGCAACAAAAGCCTCCTGTTTCGAGTTCAATAAAATGTTGTTGCTTGATATGTCTCGATGAATGATGGGTGGGATGCAATCATGGTGAAGGTAAGACAAAGCATGTGCTATGTATTTTATGACATTCACTCTTAGGTTCCAATCCAGATCCACAGCTTCATCATCATTTCTAAGCACACAAAACAAGCTTCCTCTTTCCATGTATTCGTAGATCAAAAACATGCATCTCCTATGCAGGCAAAATCCATGAAGCTTCACAATGTTTCTATGTCGTAATTCTGTCAACATCTTAACCTCATTTCTGAAACTCTTATCAAAGGCTGGCTCCTCTGCTTCCCTTTGATGTAGTTTCTTTAAAGCAACTACTTGGCCACTTGGCAATCGTGCTCTATAAACACTACCATACCCACCGGTGCCAATGCAATATTTGATGTCAAAATCCTCAGTTGCTTCAATAACATCTTCATATGCAATCCTTCCATCAAAGTTCCATATTGAGAATATATCCCCCTTTTTTGTTGGACTAGCATATGCTTCCCTACTTTTAGCCTTATGTATTCTTCCAGAAAGCAACAACAAAGCCAAAAGTACCAAGAAAACAGAGATGGTGGTGGGAAGAATAATTTTAACACGCCTCAACCCTCTGTTCCTAAGATGGTGATCATATAATCCCTTATTTCCTATGAAAGACCTTTTTGGAAAATGAAGCAATTCAATTGGGATTTGGCCTGAGAGCTTATTGTAACTAAGATCTAGGGCCTCCAAATATAATAAATTCCCAAGTTGACGAGGTATCTTTCCACTTATGGAATTATGGCTGACATTAATTAGTGAAAGCCAACTGAGATTGCCAATCTGATCGGGAATGGTTCCACTTAAAAAGTTATTGCTCAATGACAACTCCTGTAAAATCTAGCAATCACCAAGCTGAATAGGGATAGGTCCACTCAATCTGTTTTGTGAGAGGTATAAATGTTCCAAAGATGTCAAATTCCCAATATCTCCTGGTATATGACCTAAAATATTTGAATCAAGATACAAGTAGGTCAGATTGGTTAGACGAAGCAGAGCGGGAGGGATCGAACCTGTGAAACACATCCTTGTCACTTGGAATTTTGGAAGGATTTGATTAATTATTTTGTTCTTACTCTGAAGCAGTCAATGAAGGAATTTTTTTGATTAATTATTGGTTAAAGAAAATAAAATAAATGAGAAAAGAATCAAAGCAAACAAATTATATATCCAAGATTGCTTCCCTAAACGTATATCACAAATTGATTTCAAATAAAAAAGTGTGCTAAAAGATCGTTGTACCTGTAAGAAAATTATGGCTGAGATCCAAGGCCAATAGATTTGTTAAGTTGCCAAGCTCGGAAGGTATCTCTCCACTGATGAGGTTGTGGTCAATATAGAACTCCATGAGCATAGAAAGACGACCAATTTGAAAGGGGATGGGACCACTGAACCTATTCTGCCTAAGGTTCAAGAATTTTAAGGATTTTGCTTTCCCAATATCTCTTGGGATATTGCCTTCTAAAAGATTTGACTCTAAAGACAAGTTGGTCAGACTAACGAGATGAAGCAGAGCAGGAGGGATTGAACCTGTGAAATAGATTCTTGTTACTAGGAATTTTAGAAGGATTTGACTAATTATTTTGTTCTTACTCTGAAGCAATCAATGAACAAATTATTTTGACTAATTATTGGTTAAAGAAAATAAAATAAATGAGTGAAAATCAAAGCAAACAAATTATCCAAAGTTGCTCAACTGAAAACAAATGAAGAAGTGTGCTAAAAGCTCATCGTACCTATAAGACTATTGTGGCTGAGATTAAAGGTCTATAAATTCTTTAAACTCCCAAGTTGAAAAGGTATCTCTCCACTGATGAAGTTGCAGTCAACATAGAACTTCGAGAGCATAGAAAGGCGACCAATTTGGAAGGGGATGAGACCACTCAATCTGTTCTGCCCAAGGTTCAAGAATTTCAAGGATTTTGCTTTCCAATTTCTCCTGTTATTGAACCTTCTAAATGATTCGAACCAAGATCCAAGTAAGCTAGATTCTTCAAATTTCCTATTTCCAAGGGGATGGAACCATTGATTTGGTTTTGCACCATATTTAGGTAGATGAGACTCTTCATGTTTCCTATTTCTGAGGGGATAGAACCACTGATTTGATTTTCCTAAAGATTTAGGTGCTTCAACTTGGATAAAAGACCTAAAGTTGGAGGTAGGGGACCACTAAGTTGGTTTTTATCTATGCATAGAAAGCTGAGATTCTTCATGTCTCCAAATTCTTGAGGGATGGAACCTGTGACAGATATGTCAGATTGGTCAGTTGGACGACCTGAAAGCATGATGGAGGATGTTTAATGGTAAACAAATTGGCTAATTGCCCTAAAGCAGAAGGAACTTCACCTGAAAGAGAGTTGTAGGAAAGATCCAAAGTAACCAAATTATGTAGCTTCCCAATTTCTGGTGGAATGGATCCATTGAGTTGGTTGCCCCCAAGAGATAGTTTTCTAAGTTTGCTCAGATGACCCAAACCAGGAGGGATGCTTCCGCTAAAACCTCTGTCATTAAGATCAAGCCGAAGAAGATTGGGGAAGGCAGAAAAGTTCATCTTTGTAAATATTTCTTCCTCATAAGAATAATAACTATATGGAGGGCTAATCTCGATGACACTTCCATCGTGGTTGCATTTTACACCAGGCCAGCTACAATGATTTGCAATGTTGTCGACATGGCCACTCCACCACCCACTTTCCAACAATGCCTGAGCTTCTAAATCTTGTGAATCTGCTGCTACTAACATTATCGAGGGTACTGCAAGAAAAATAATCCATACAACTGTTGCCACAATGGAAGCAGTTAGAACAGATGATGAGGATGTCATGTTTAAGCTTCTTTTGTATAATATATTAC